GAGTGGAGGGCTTCAACCATTATTTGCGTAGCAAGTAACAATATATATCCTGTTGAGATGGCAACTTCCCTGAAGTAAAAGGTATACTAAGTCAGTACTAGTCTCCTGTCGGGCAAAGAATATCATTCCCGATCATTCACCAACTTACATCAGTTCCATTCTCAGACCATAAAGAACGATCTGTGGAATGACAGGCAACTACCGGGGTTAAACCAGAAATTTCCCCCAACCTATACTGGCGCCCTACTACACGAAGAGTAAGAGATACTCAACGGGTTTAGGAATCCAGCATAAGTTGCTGCTCATTTGATTATCAGCAGTTTATATTCCCGGCAGACTAGATTTGTACCATCTCCATACCCCGGGGTTTCAATACACCATGTAAGGCAGACTGACAAATATAGTCAGATTGTCTTGAAATCCTAACAAACCCAATGACAGATTACTAAAGATATCTTCAGTAACAATAGGTTAATTTAAATAAAAAACATTTCGTTTCAATATTTTTTTCCATATAAATTTTGTATGCGTTTCATTTATTTGTTTTTTAAACTTTTGTTTAGTTGTTTAAGTATTTCATTGTTTTTTATATAATTTTAATATTTATATATTTCGAAAATTGTTTATATATTTTCTTAATTTTACAATAATTAAAACAAAATTTGTTTAATAATAAAACCATACACATAGTATATTATAACCCATATATCATTAATCATTTGTCTATATATTAATATTATAGAACTTGGGGATTAAATGATAAATAGAAAACGTTTATTTTAGTTTTACAGTAATTTGAAACATTTTGTTATATTAAGGTTTTGTTCTTTTGTTTAACATTTAAGATTTAAGCAACATTATTTGATTTATTACATATTATAATAAGTTTAATTAAATTTTTTATACAATAGTGCCAAAAGTAACGTTCACACTATAAAAATGTCTGGTGAAATTATCTAAACCACTATTTTCAGCAAATGTTGTTTTTATTTTTACTTAAAAATAAGAATTATGATGTTCTATTTAATATTAAAATTAAATAAATATTTGTTTAAAATAAAGTGAATTTAGTTTTTTAGTGGTCACGTTTATTTCAACTCAAAATTTTTATGATGGGAACGTTCTAATTTCAATTGTGTATCTCTCTTAAGCTATTTAGTTCTCAGAATTGAGTAGAAAACATTTAGATTGTTGTTCTCTTTAAAATTGAAAATTTATGATCAGAAGATGGTTTTTAACTTAGATGAGAACGAACTTCATATTTGACAAAAATTAAACACGAGATTTAGCAACTTTTAAACTGTACGTTACTCAAAATAAAAATTTGAAATGAAAAACTGCATTTCTTATACATAATAATCACATTTAATAAAGTGCGACTAGTGTAGTAAATTTGCAATGGTATTTATTTGTATTCATTATATTTAACAATTTTTATTAATTGTATAAATATTTTGCAGAAAATTAACAATTTGTTACAAAAAAATTTTAAAAAATACGTTTTACTACATAATTGTATATCAATATTTATATATCTTTTTATATAATTTTGTATATTATATTTATGTATAATATATTTAAATATTTCGTTGCTTTTTTCTAATGCATTTGCTTATTTTTCTTTTGGTATTTTTTTAAAAATTAGAATAAAATGCATATCGGTGGTTGAAAAATTAACAAAATTTAGAAAAAACATAATTTGAATAAATGTAAATTACGCCAAAAACAGTTAAATAAAGGGAAATTGGATATATAAAAAATGTTCTTAAATATCCAAAAGGAAACATTAATACTAGGTTTAAATATACCAGAATTTCATTAACATTATGGACTCAAGTTTCAAAGTGTAAAAGAATTGGAATGACACAAATAGCGATATAATGTGAAATATATGAACTACTTTCATGAATGATCCTTAGTCAATAGAATAGAACATAGTATAGTTTATAGCCTAGTCTATAGTCTAGTCTTTAGTCTAGTCTTAGTCTAGTCTATAGTCTAGTCTATAGTCTAGTCTATAGTCTAGTCTATAGTCTAGTCTATAGTCTAGTCTATAGTCTAGTCTATAGTCTAGTCTATAGTCTAGTCTATAGTCTAGTCTATAGTCTAGTCTATAGTCTAGTCTATAGTCTAGTCTATAGTCTAGTCTATAGTCTAGTCTATAGTCTAGTCTATAGTCTAGTCTATAGTCTAGTCTATAGTCTAGTCTATAGTCTAGTCTATAGTCTAGTCTATAGTCTAGTCTATAGTCTAGTCTATAGTCTAGTCTATAGTCTAGTCTATAGTCTAGTCTATAGTCTAGTCTATAGTCCAGTCTATAGTCTAGTCTATAGTCTAGTCTATAGTCTAGTCTATAGTCCAGTCTATAGTCTAGTCTATAGTCCAGTCTATAGTCTAGTCTATAGTCTAGTCTATAGTCTAGTCTATAGTCTAGTCTATAGTCTAGTCTATAGTCTAGTCTATAGTCTAGTCTATAGTCTAGTCTATAGTCTAGTCTATAGTCTAGTCTATAGTCTAGTCTATAGTCTAGTCTATAGTCTAGTCTATAGTCTAGTCTATAGTCTAGTCTATAGTCTAGTCTATAGTCTAGTCTATAGTCTAGTCTATAGTCTAGTCTATAGTCTAGTCTATAGTCTAGTCTATAGTCTAGTCTATAGTCTAGTCTATAGTCTAGTCTATAGTCTAGTCTATAGTCTAGTCTATAGTCTAGTCTATAGTCTAGTCTATAGTCTAGTCTATAGTCTAGTCTATAGTCTAGTCTATAGTCTAGTCTATAGTCCTAGTCTATAGTCTAGTCTATAGTCTAGTCTATAGTCTAGTCTATAGTCTAGTCTATAGTCTAGTCTATAGTCTAGTCTATAGTCTAGTCTATAGTCTAGTCTATAGTCTAGTCTATAGTCTAGTCTATAGTCTAGTCTATAGTCTAGTCTATAGTCTAGTCTATAGTCTAGTCTATAGTCTAGTCTATAGTCTAGTCTATAGTCTAGTCTAGAGTCTAGTCTATAGTCTAGTCTATAGTCTAGTCTATAGTCTAGTCTATAGTCTAGTCTATAGTCTAGTCTATAGTCTAGTCTATAGTCTAGTCTATAGTCTAGTCTATAGTCTAGTCTATAGTCTAGTCTATAGTCTAGTCTATAGTCTAGTCTATAGTCTAGTCTATAGTCTAGTCTATAGTCTAGTCTAGTCTATAGTCTAGTCTATAGTCTAGTCTATAGTCTAGTCTATAGTCTAGTCTATAGTCTAGTCTATAGTCTAGTCTATAGTCTAGTCTATAGTCTAGTCTATAGTCTAGTCTATAGTCTAGTCTATAGTCTAGTCTATAGTCTAGTCTATAGTCTAGTCTATAGTCTAGTCTATAGTCTAGTCTATAGTCTAGTCTATAGTCTAGTCTATAGTCTAGTCTATAGTCTAGTCTATAGTCTAGTCTATAGTCTAGTCTATAGTCTAGTCTATAGTCTAGTCTATAGTCTAGTCTATAGTCTAGTCTATAGTCTAGTCTATAGTCCAGTCCAGTCTATAGTCTAGTCTATAGTCCTAGTCTATAGTCCAGTCTATAGTCTAGTCTATAGTCTAGTCTATAGTCTAGTCTATAGTCTAGTCTATAGTCTAGTCTATAGTCTAGTCTATAGTCTAGTCTATAGTCTAGTCTATAGTCTAGTCTATAGTCTAGTCTATAGTCTAGTCTATAGTCTAGTCTATAGTCTAGTCTATAGTCTAGTCTATAGTCTAGTCTATAGTCTAGTCTATAGTCTAGTCTATAGTCTAGTCTATAGTCTAGTCTATAGTCTAGTCTATAGTCTAGTCTATAGTCTAGTCTATAGTCTAGTCTATAGTCTAGTCTATAGTCTAGTCTATAGTCTAGTCTATAGTCTAGTCTGTAGTCTAGTCTATAGTCTAGTCTATAGTCTAGTCTATAGTCTAATCTATACTCTAATCTATAGTCTAGTCTAAAGTCTAGTCTATAGTCGAGTTTAGTCTATAGTCGAGTATAGTCTATAGTCTAGTCTACAGTCTAGTCTATAGTCTAGTCTACAGTCTAGTCTATAGTCTAGTCTACAGTCTAGTCTATAGTCTAGTCTACAGTCTAGTCTATAGTCTAGTCTACAGTCTAGTCTATAGTCTAGTCTATAGTCTAGTCTATAGTCTAGTCTATAGTCTAGTCTATAGCCTAGTCTATAGTCAGTCTATAGTCTAGTCTATAGTCTAGTCTATAGTCCAGTCTATAGTCTAGTCTATAGTCTAGTCTATAGTCTAGTCTATAGTCTAGTCTATAGTCTAGTCTATAGTCTAGTCTATAGTCTTGTCTATAGTCTAGTCTATAGTCTAGTCTATAGTCTAGTCTATAGTCTAGTCTATAGTCTAGTCTATAGTCTAGTCTATAGTCTAGTCTATAGTCTAGTCTATAGTCTAGTCTATAGTCTAGTCTATAGTCTAGTCTATAGTCTAGTCTGTAGTCTAGTCTATAGTCTAGTCTATAGTCTAGTCTATAGTCTAGTCTATAGTCTAGTCTATAGTCTAGTCTATAGTCTAGTCTATAGTCTAGTCTAGTCTATAGTCTAGTCTATAGTCTAGTCTATAGTCTAGTCTATAGTCTAGTCTATAGTCTAGTCTATAGTCTAGTCTATAGTCTAGTCTATAGTCTAGTCTATAGTCTAGTCTATAGTCTAGTCTATAGTCTAGTCTATAGTCTAGTCTATAGTCTAGTCTATAGTCTAGTCTATAGTCTAGTCTATAGTCTAGTCTATAGTCTAGTCTATAGTCTAGTCTATAGTCTAGTCTAGTCTAGTCTATAGTGTAGTCTATAGTGTAGTCTAGTCTATAGTCTAGTCTATAGTCTTGTCTATAGTCTAGTCTATAGTCTAGTCTATAGTCTAGTCTATAGTTTGCACTACAGTCTAGCGACTCTATAGTCTAGACTAAAGTCTAGTCTATAGTCTATTCCATAGTCTATTCTCTAGACTAAAGTCTAGTCTATAGTCTATTACATAGTCTATTCTACATTATGCATTAGTTTTTCTTTAAAATGTTGTTGCTTTACTACTTGAGATCTGTTGCAATAAAAAACTTAAATGTAGACAAAATGGAATACTTTTGTGCTTTAAATGTCGTTTCCAAAATTTACTTTCACTAAAGATGCTTGCTCTAACATCTGTAGCAACATGTTGCTTACAAATGTTGCTAAGCTAAGTGTATAAATATAACGAAAGTTGTTAAACATATTAAGAAAAATTATTTTAATTTGTATTAAATATTTTGAATTAAAACTAAATTGTTTCGGTTTTAAGAAATTATTTTATTTTTTTACACAAATTAAATGCTTTGTTTTGATATATTTATAAAAAAAAATTTATATAAAACTAAAAATTAAAATAAAAAATATAATTAAAAAACCCTTAAATAAAAATATTAATAAAAAAAATAAAAATATGATGAAATTGACTTATATTACAATAAATATGGAATTTATGGTTTATTTTTAATTTTTTTTTTTTTGTTAAATTAGTACTCTTACAACAAAAATTGTTCTAAAAACATAATTGTTAATAACAAAAAATGTGCAAATTTTAATTTAAAAAGCAATATTTATAAAATGTTTTAAGTTGTTTTTTTAATTCTAGGAAAACTAAAAAAGTTTTATAGAATTAAAAAAAAATAAATAAAATATTTTATAAATTTTGGCCTTTAAGCTAATTTTTGTAAAACTATAGACAACTGGGTCTAGAAAATTTAAAAATTTCAGAACGATTTTTTATAAGTTTTACAAAAATAAACAGATTTTTTTCTTAAATGTCCATATAATACATAGTTATATTTGTGTAAATATTTATATAGTATAATATTTTGGTTTATTTAATATATTTATGTAATTGTTTATTAAGTTTTAGATTTATTTAAGAGGAATAAAGAACGTATTTATATATGTAAGTATATAGAGTATGTCTATTTTTTTTTTCAAAGGTTTAGAAAGATTTTTAACTCTTTTTAGACTATAACCTAATGTAGTTTTAATTAATTTATTTATAACATTATTTAGTTTATAGTTTAGTGTGTCTTGTCTGTGTTTTGTGTTAATGAGAATAATTCAACTACAAAAATAATTTGTAGTTAAATAAATTTATTTGGTAATATTCCGGCTTTTTGTTATTTAAAATTTATTCATGAGCTTGAGATTCTTGTTGTACCAATTTGAAACGTCTGGGTGATTTAATGGAACCTTGTTGACCGAACAAATTTTTCAATTGGCCCTTTTGGGCTAATACTTTGCGTATATAACGTGCCACTAGAATTTGAGGACGTTCTTGCCATTCATTCATAACTTCTTTGGGCGCATTGACCTGAACAAGAGATATTAAAGGAATTTAGTTTTATTAATCCTAAAAATTTACTAATTAAGTTCTTGCTTACCTGATCACCGTTTAGACGATTAAGCAATGCCACACACACCACAGCAGCTTTGATGCCGGCATGATATGTCAGTGCTGCAAATATGGTGCTTTCCATTTCAATATTAACCACACCATGCTCACGTAATTTTTCTAAATAAGCCATTTTATCGGCTTCGGTGAATTCACAAAAAGCTCCATCTAAACGTCCTTGACCTAGAAAAAGTTAATCTTAAGTACATGGTTTCTAGGCTTGGGACATGCCAATTATATTTTCAATTGCAAAGAAGTAATAGTAATAATTACAGGTAATTGTAATTGAAATTTTGGTCATTACACTTATTTGTAAAGTGTAATTGAGCAATAATCAATTACAATAACTTAAAGTATTTTCAATCACTTGTAATTGTGTCTATTTTTTTCCTTATAAGTACAAGTAATTGGTAATATACAAGTTAAAATTACAAGTAATTGGAATGGTGTTAAATTACAATTGCAAATAATTGTAAAAACTTTAAGCAATTGTAATTTGTTATTGCTCAATTACAATCAATTTCAATTACAATTACCTATAATTGTAATCATTTATTGTACAATTACACATTACAAATAATTGTAATTGATTATTTACACAGTCTGATCATTTCATGTAAAATAAAAAGAAGAAATCTTACCCTCATAGAAATCATTGGTACATAAAGTTTTGCCAATAATTGTATCATAGGGATCATCTTGACTTGCTAAAGATTTAAGTTCTCTGGCCAGTTTTTTATCCAATTTAGCGGGACGATGTATAGTTTTGCCCAAAACAGTCTAATTTAAAAAAAATAATTTAAATTCATTTCAAAACCCAAAAAGAAAAACAAAAATAAATACTCACAAACTCATGCGAATTCCGAAGTTGACCATCCAAGGCATCCTCGGTTATGATGACAGTACCACCCTCAACACCAATACCACCACAAGTGCCAATACGTATGAAAACGGGATCATGGCACTTGGCATGATACATCAGTTTAATCATTTCATGCATTAAAATGCTAACAGAGGGCGTTCCCATGCCGTGACTAACACAAAGTACTGGACCAACTTTGTACATGGAATAACGATACGAGTAGGCACTAATGTCCTGTAACATTGTGCCCGCTGGTAATTTATAGCCGATTTCATTCATTATGAAATGTGCAAAGTTTTCCATACGCTTTGGTGTCCCGCCCATGCAAACAAACTGTTTTTTGTTTTTTATTATTTTTTTTTTAATTGAAAGAAAGGAAAGAAAGAGAAAAAATATTAAAGATTTAAAATATTTGTTTTATACATATTTATAGGTAAGAGAGTGTTTTTTAAATAATCTAAGGCTTTATGAATGACTTTTTAATTAATTGCAGTTGTTACTTTATCAGTTTTTTTATATACATTTTTCTTATCATTTAATTATATCACCTTTTTTATAATATGCGCATTACTTATTATTTAAATTATTATTTAAATTGTTTAATATATTACTTATTTTAAAAACAAATTTTTTCTGTATCAAGATTTTTTGCAGCATTAATTGTCAATTTTTTGTTTAATTGCAAATTAAGGTTGGTTATGGTTGAGATTACTTAATTAAAATAAAGCAACATACAGTGAGTAACAGAACAAGTTGAAATTTTTAAAGAAAAAAAAAAAAACACTAATTACCTAGACTATAGCCCAGACTAACATAAAGACTAGACTATAGACTAGACTGTAGGCTAGACTGTAGACTGGATTATAGACCGGACTATAAACTAGACTATAGACTAGACTATAGACTAGACTATATACTAGACTATAGACTAGACTATAGACTAGACTATAGACTAGACTATAGACTAGACTATAGACTAGACTGTAGGCTAGACTGTAGACTGGATTATAGACTGGACTATAAACTAGACTATAGACTAGACTATAGACTAGACTATATACTAGACTAGACTAGACTATAGACTAGACTATAGACTAGACTATAGACTAGACTATAGACTAGACTATAGACTAGACTATAGACTAGACTATAGACTAGACTATAGACTAGACTATAGACTAGACTATAGACTAGACTATAGACTAGACTATAGACTAGACTATAGACTAGACTATAGACTAGACTAGACTAGACTATAGACTAGACTATAGACTAGACTATAGACTAGACTATAGACTAGACTATAGACTAGACTATAGACTAGACTATAGACTAGACTATAGACTAGACTATAGACTAGACTAGACTAGACTATAGACTAGACTATAGACTAGACTATAGACTAGACTATAGACTAGACTATAGACTAGACTATAGACTAGACTATAGACTAGACTATAGACTAGACTATAGACTAGACTATAGACTAGACTATAGACTAGACTATAGACTAGACTATAGACTAGACTATAGACTAGACTATAGACTAGACTATAGACTAGACTATAGACTAGACTATAGACTAGACTATAGACTAGACTATAGACTAGACTATAGACTAGACTATAGACTAGACTATAGACTAGACTATAGACTAGACTATAGACTAGACTATAGACTAGACTAGACTATAGACTAGACTATAGACTAGACTATAGACTAGACTATAGACTAGACTAGACTATAGACTAGACTATAGACAAGACTATAGACTAGACTATAGACTAGACTATAGACTATACTATAGACTAGACTATAGACTAGACTATAGACTAGACTATAGACTAGACTATAGACTAGACTATAGACTAGACTATAGACTAGACTATAGACTAGACTATAGACTAGACTATAGACTAGACTATAGACTAAACTATAGACTAGACTATAGACTAGACTATAGACTAGACTATAGACTAGACTATAGACTAGACTATAGACTAGACTATAGACTAGACCATGGACTAGACTACAGTTTAGTCTATAGACTAGACTATAGGCGAGACTATAGACTAGACTATAGGCTAGACTATAGGCTAGACTATAGACTAGACTATAGACTAGTCTTTAGACTAGACTGTAGACTATAGACTAGACTTTAGATTGGAATATATGCTATAGACTAGACTTATTATACAAGTTTTACTTGTTAATAGTTTCTATTTGTTTTGTTATCCACTGTATTATATTTTCATTAATAACTTGTTATGTTTTTTTTTTGCAAACAACTTTTATTTTTTTAATAAATTTATTAACATAAAAATCACGTTTCTCTTGCGTTTTAGAAAATTGATGCAAAGAATCTGGCGATATTTGTTAAAACAAGTTCTATTAAGAACATAAAAAAATAACGGTGAATTTGAATTCTTATTAAGTTGATGTAATTATAAACAAATATTAAAATAAGTTATAGATAAATGACAATTGAAAAAAGTGATTGAAAATTATGTTTATTTTCCAATTGGACTACGTCGGATATATCTAATACTAAATTAGTATTGGTTTCATTTAATATTCAAACATAATTTACGGAAGTTATAACATTTTAATTTCATTAAAGTTGCAAATAGTTACAAGTGTTTGCAATTTTTTGCATAGTTTTAATATTATAAAATTTCATTAGGCCTTATTAAATTGTTTAAACACTCATTTACCGATAATTCAAACTCACCTTGACATCACCAAACATTTCATGTAAATCGTGCGATTCACTGCCTAAGGCCAAATGATATAAAATATCCTGATCCATAAGTTCAATATTGGGATTACGTAGTTTAACTGTGCCATCGGAATATCTAGAAAAATTTAAATAAACAGGTCAATGATTAATTGTTTTTTAAATTTCATTAAAAACAAACTGTAACTGAAGGTTGAAACGAAAAAAAAAAACTGATAAAAACCGAATAAATTTTGACATATTGCTATTCGCATTTGGTGTTTACACTTAAACAAAATTTGCTGATAATTATTATAATTTGTTTTGTTATAAATGTTGGCACTCTTTAAAAATTTTAAACAAAAAAACTTAAAAGCGAAAGTTTTTTTGTAAAAAAATTTTGTATATTTTTTTCAGATACTTCTTGTTATAAAACTAATAAAAAACTGCATTAGTTAATAAGGTAAAAGTTTTAATCATCTGTCATTTATTTATTTAGTCACAGTCATGCTTATTCAGTTGGAATAATAACATTACTATTTTGTAATAATTGTCATATAAAAGGAGAAAATCAAAGTTAATTTATATGTATGTAACTAATATCATTTATATGATAACAATAATAACAATAAATTGTTGTAGTGTAATTGTATATCTACACAGAAAGAAAAAACGCATAATAATAAATTATAACAAATTGACAGCAAAATTTATTTTTCATATTTAATTTAATCTTTTTTCATACTTAATTTAATCGCAATTGAACATTTCTTATTTTGTTAAAAATATTTATCACTTTGGCCCAAAAAAAAGCTCGTACTTAATGGATCCGTACTTGAATGAAGTAATTTGTACTTGTACTGTAAAGAAGACCGTAATTCTGAAACCGCTTCGGATTGATTTGAGTACGGATTATTCAATTCTTCTTTTTTCTCCATGTTTCAGAAACTCAGTCTCCCTCCGCTCCATAATTCCTTAAAATATTCCAGTATATGTTCTTTGGAAATGTTATATCCGGTATAATATCACAACCAAAGTTTTTGGATCTAATTTCAACAAAAGCTTCGCAATGGCAGAGAAAGTATTTCAGTTTTTCACTATCGTCCAATTCGGTGAAGTTGTGCTCGTAGTTTTGTATGTCCAGTCATACGTGAAACTTTCCTCGTACTTGCTTGAACGTACTTGTTCGAAGTTATATTGGCATATATATATATATATATATATATATATATATGTATATATATATATATATATATATATATATATATATAGATAGATAGATAGATAGATAGATAGATAGATAGATAGATAGATAGATAGATAGATAGATAGATAGATAGATAGATAGATAGATAGAAGATAGATAGATAGATAGATAGATAGATAGATAGATAGATAGATAGATAGATAGATAGATAGATAGATAGATAGATAGATAGATAGATAGATAGATAGATAGATAGATAGATAGATAGATAGATAGATAGATAGATAGATAGATAGATAGATAGATAGATAGATAGATAGATAGATAGATAGATAGATAGATAGATAGATAGATATATAGATAATAGATAGATAGATGATCGATAGACGGGCATTGGTAGATCGTTTATTGAGTGAACTTTTCAATAACACAGGCCAACAAATTTTTAACACAGAGACCAGAGGACATATTTCTACAGGATCCAAATCTATGATCTGATTTGTTTACGCTTTTATAGCGTTCCAATACTGGCCAAAAATTTTAAGACGATATCTCGAAAACATAATATGACACAGAAATTATGAGGCCAGATTTCGAATCAGCACCACAAGTTTCGGAAATTATACTATGGGTGAAATCTTGTTGGCCTGTGTAATATTAAGCAATAAAATTGTTAATTATTGTAATTGCTCTAGCGCAAAAACAACAAAACCATTACGTCAATTCAAATAACTGTTCATAAAAACTACCAAAGGAAATGAAAAAAATTAATAGACATTTTTTTTATCTAACAAAAGTTAAAGTCGTCTTATCAAATATTTTTAAACAGTTGCATTTAATTTATAATTATTGTAGTTGTCGCACTTATTTTGGTTAAGATAACATTGAAATTTTATTTTAAACAATAAAATTTAAACAAATAAACACCACAAAATTACCTCCCACTAGCAGCACCAACGAACTTTGGAATGTTAATAATAAATAAAAATGTTTTTAAACAATTTTCGTAATTGAAAATTTGCTAAAAGAAAAAATTCAAGTCATGAAGACTAAAAGAGAAATACACTTGAAAAAATAAACATGGACACACCTCCTTTATTTTTCATGTGAGCTACTATCATGACGCATTTTTATATTTTTGGCATTTATTACGATTTTTTTCTTGTTAAATTTGTTTATTATTATATTATTCATAAATAATATTTTGTTGAGTGATTAGTATGTAGTTGTTTTGTATTGATTAAATGATTAAATATGAGTTATTGATTGTAATATGAACAGTTAGTTTATGCAGCAATAACTGTCTGTCTATAGGTTATTTGAAGGTTAATGAGGTTAAATTGGAAAGTTTTCACTTTAAAATAAAGTCTTGAAAACATTGGTTTGATCTAGTTCTAGCGATTTAGCTTGAAATTGTTATATTCTGTTATAGAAAGTAGTAAAGATGTAGTTCTGTGACTGGTTCTTAGGGGCTAGTTATAGTTCTAGTACTTGTTGCTTAGAAAATTTGAAATTAAACTCTAAAATCCCATACGTGCAATATCTTTAAAATATTTATAAACATTTATTTTTGTTTAATATATCGTTTTGTCTCTTTTATCACAATTCTTCTAAACTATTTTTAAAATTTAAAAATAAAGACAACAAGTTGCTGTAAAAACGTGCTGACATGAGTAAATATTTACAGATTAAAAAATCAGTTTAAATTTAAATTTTGCATTTCATTATATAATAAAAAAAAATACACAAATTAATAATAATAAGAATAATAACATTATGACGCAAATTATGTTTTTCATTATTAATTTGAAATGAATCGTTTGGTTTTTATATATAAAAATATTTCTATAATAAAAACAATCTAAAATTTTTAATTCATGCGACATGTTTTGCTATTGAAATTAATAATAGACAACAATAATAGGAAACATTTTTATGAAAAACGAAAATTTCTTTTATTTACGTTAGCAAAAATACTAGAAAAGTTCAAAAAACTATTTCACCACTTTGAAAATAAATTGAGGTAGATAACGCTATGACGAGGGCAAGATATAGCAAATTGTTTACGATTTATCTAGTGCTACAGCTAAGGTAAAGTGTTTAAAAAAGTTTATAATTCTAGAAAAAAACAATTAGGGAAATCTCGACTGCATTTCCAATACATTTTTATTTGAATACATCTGGTAGAAATCTCAATTCTACCATCAGTTTTAGCATAGAGTTAAAAAAACTCTTTAAATTCTTGGATTCTTGCAAAGACATTTTACGTTAAAAGTCTTACTACTAGATCTAGTATTAGTTCTGTTTCAATTTCAGTTAAGATATTCTTTACCAATTTGATTCATTAAGCATTTCTGATCACCAGAGGGGAACTAGGTTTTCCTTTTAAAACATTTTGATTCAAAATGTTTGATCGGTTTAAATATTATTAGGACTTATATCTGATAAGTTTCGGAATTTGTTATTAAGGCCTCATTACACAGCGGACGGATGATTATTTTGCTTTAGAATGTTTCATATTGACCGATTGATCTATTTTTATACCAAATAAATAACTATAATCAATATAAAATATCTGTACTACCGTTGGCCCCTACCACACACCGGGTCATATTACCTAGATGAACTTTCATCTAGGTAATATCTAGGTGTGATTCGGGGAAAAGAAGGTGCTACCAGTACCTTTAGTCTTCCGGGACTGCAAATTGGGGGTGTCAAATGTATCCTCTGACTTTCTTGGAATGATTTGCCTTGGGATGGAAACAGAGGGTCATATAATCTGGTACCATCCGGAAACCCGTAGCCCATAGGGCAGAGTATCAAACTTTGTCTTTTCCTTAATATTGGAAAGGTCTCTTCAGGTAGAGCGAAGAGAATATTGGTTAAAAGACTGATACACGATGAAATCTATATTTCAGGGTAAGCTCAGTGCTGTTGCCGTAAAACACTACAGAGGAGTGAATATGTGGTTAAGTGTTTGGAATGAGTTGTTGTCATCTGTATATAATACGGAGTGGATGTAGTGATATGCAGGCCTCTTTCCACCCACATGATTATAGGGAATGTGTCGGATAAATGAGAAGGTTGGAATTGCGATAGATGATACTGTTTTACCGATAATGTCTCTAGGTCCTGTTGCCGAATCAACAGAGACCATCCCATCTGCGCAGTTGTAAACGGAAGTGATGAATTAGAATTTGGGAACCGGTAGCCCATAGGGCAGAGTTTCGGACTTCGTCTTGTTCGTTTATTGAAGAACACCCTACGGGTAGCGGGAAGAGAATATTGGTTAAAAGACTGATATATGGTGAAATCTTTATTTCGGGATAAGACTACAGATACCCCACAGAGGAGTAAATATGTGGCTAAGTGTTTAGAATGACTTGGTGTCAAGTGTATACAATACAGAATGGATGGAGGGATATGCAGGCCTCTTTCCACCCACATGACTAGAGTGAATCTCTCGAATAAATGAGTAGGGTGGAATGGTGATGAATGATAGGTATCTTATAGAAGTGATTCCTTATCTGTTCACTCCAGACTTACCACAGTGTTTTAGCAATAACATCTCTAAGCCCTGTTGCCGAATCAATATAGGCCATCCTATCTGCGCAGTTGTAAACGGAAATGAATCTCGGAAGTTAAGCAAGGGGTGGTAAGAGATAAGATAGCTTGAGTACTTGATCAAAGTGCTTGTACATTTACTGGCCTAAGGAAATACATAGGAGTGGTGGTGAGTCGTTTAACAGCTCACCTAGTGGCCGTCATGGCAGGTGTTCATGTAAAGCACTTCGATTTACAAATGTACTACAATTACCGATGAAATATCGTTATCGGTTTGTTATTCAGGTTTTTATCATATGAAAGGAAACATTTGAACATTTTCTTATATCAGTGGAAAGCAAATTGTGTGTGAAATTAAAAATTATAAAGAAATTATCGATTTTATACTCGAATAATACTAACGGTAGACAATTTATATATCAACAGCAAGGAAATTGTGTTCAGTTATTATAAAACTGATGTCTATTAATAATTTATAAGATTTATTTAAAATAAAATATAAAATTTTATACCAAATAGACCTCCATATATACATATGTAAGAGAAATTAAGATAATGGGTATACCTTTCTGAAGTTTGGTTAAAATTTAAACAAAATTAATAAAAGTTTTAAAAGTTTCAAATTAGTTTTCTTATTTTTTTTTTTGTCTCACTGTAGGGTACTATAAAACATTAATATAATATAAACGCATTTTGTTGACAATTAGCCAAAAATAAAACTAAAAAAACAATAGTATATACAAAATTTAATACTAACTGTATAAATATATTTGAAATTTACAAGGTCATGAAAAAATACAAATTGTATATAAAAACCGACAAATGAAATTCACGAGACACATACTACATTATGTATGAAAAATTCCGGTAAAAATATATACATTTTTTATTTATATTTTTTATAAAAGATTTTTGTTAAAATAGGAATTAAGTCTTTCTGATTTAATTTGAATAGTAAACCCTACACCTTAACTTCAGGTTTAAAATCATGTTTGTGGAATTTTTCCAAATTTCTTAAAAACCCTTTAATACCTGGTATGTTCACGAACTGCAGCATACATATCATCCTCTTCATCTTCTTGGTCATTTACCAAATGGGCACCATTGCCATTGGTGTGTGTATGTTCAAAATAGGATTTATAATCATGATGATGATCAGCTTCATCAAGAGAAATACCGGTAGGAGGCATATTTATTTTTATTTTATTTTTTTATTAAAACACAAAATTTTTGTTTAGCACAGGTTTTCTTTAAAGGACCCTTTTTTGCCTTAAAGATATTTTTTTTTACTTTTTTGGTTATTATTAACTTTTAAGAATTTGCTAGACGTTTTTTATTGATTTTTTATTACTTTGGCTTTAACTTGTTTTTTTTTTTTTTTTTTGTTCCAAGTAAGTATTTATGTTTGTAACACACAAAAACGTCTTATAATAAACGCAACGTTTTATACTCGTTGAGGTCTAAAATACAACTGATATATTTCTGTATAGTTTGATGATCTTTTATAAAAATAATACAAATAAAACAGCTAAAAATTGTATGAATGTATGTTGTACCACCTCTAAACACAAAAACAAAATGTATAGAGAAGAAAAATACATAAAAACAAAATAGCAAAAACAAACAGAAATAAAAGAGAGTCAGTCGTCCAACAAACAACGAAAAAAAAAAACTAAACAATCAAATGCAATCAATACCTATACATTCACATATTGAAAGGAAACAAACAAACAAACAAATAAGGTGAGTTAATAATCAATTTCAAACTCAATTACAAAGAGTACATGCAGAAGATGCAGTTTAATTGGAATGAATTGAACAGAAGAATGCTGTTAATCTCGTACGGATTAGTAGGACTCATACACTCGAACCCGTATTGATTATATGTGTTGAAAATAGTTTTGTATTTGGAGAGAAAAAAGCGGGTTGTTTATTCTAATCGGGGGATTTTTTCTTTTACGGAATAAACTTTGACTAACACCACTAAAACTTTTGCAATTAGGGTAAAAATTGCAAAAATACAACAAATAGTACCCAGCAGTTTTGTGAGAAGTCAAGGATACCTATATTACTAGCTATACCCAGTGTGCTTTGCTACCCTCTAAACACACTATAAATAATAGTTTTCCAGATATACGATTTTTTATTTTTCATGGGACCTGCTACGCCAGCAATTTCATGTTCATCCACTTTTTGGAAACCTATTGGAAGTTCATTTTCCACCCAAATGTTCATATGGTTATCAGAGTTGTTTGTGCAATACTTAAGGATTCTAGCTCTAACAGTTTCCCAAATATATGAATTTTAGTATCTAAGTTATATGGGAGTTGTCACGCCCCTCAGCCAAGTTTATTTAATTTTTCCTTAAGTTCACATGCATTTCAATGATGCCCAAGAAGAATTTGAAAATTCTTTCAGTTATATGAGTTTTTATATTAATTTCATATGGGAGGTGGCCTTTTGGTATTTCGCCTATTTTTTTTCAAATGTTATATAGATATTAGGTTATACAATTATTAGGGTTTTTGGTTTTTTTTTCGGTTTATACGACAAAAAATAATTTGAGGTTTACATTCGGATAATTGAGAATTATTCGGTTACTCGAATAACCGATAAATACCCAAATAGATATCAACATTCTTGGTGCAAAATTTGTGCTTTCTAGCTCTAATAGTTTCCCAGATATAAGATTTTTTCTATTTAATTCATATGCAAGGGACAATGCCCCCAAATTTCTTAAGACAAATATTAACATGGATGTCAAAGTTCTTCGTGAAAAATTTGAGCATTCTAATTCCTAAAACTTCCCCGATATACGCATTTCTGTATTTAATTCATATGGTAGCTGCCACGCCCCCTATTGCAAGTTCACCTAGTGTTTCCGAACTTTCACGTGGATTTCAATGATACAAAATTTTAAAATTCGCCCTCTAATAATCTCACAGATATATACATTTTTGTATTTAATTCACATGGGAGGATCCAAGCGCCCCCTCCTCCCCCCTTTTGGAAGTCCGCCTACTTCTTTCTTCAAATATTACATTGATGTCAAAGTGCATCTTGCCTTCTAGAGTGGAATCTAGCTGTAAAAGTTTCGCAGTTATACAATTTTTTATTTAATTCCTATTTGAGGTGCCACGCCCCTATTTCTAGTCTGTCCATTTATTCCTAAATATTCATATTGATACCAAAGTTGAGGACTCTCAGATATGTTTGCTCCACGACCACTGTATTTAGGCTGCTCATTTTGTACCCAAATGTTCTTATGGTACTGAAAAAATATCAAGAAAATCCGTTAAAAAAATTCCCACCCTTATTAATTCTCTAACCAAGGAACAGCCTCCCCGAACTGCCGGGTATATCAACAGATAACTGTAGTTGAAATAACTGTTGCTTGCAAAATGAAAAAGTGCAAATTGCTGTTCGCTTTAATGTTGCAAATATGAGCGCAATGAGACAAGAGAAAGAGCAGTTTGAGAAGAGGGTCTTTAGATTGAAAAAACACAATATTTTTAAGGGTCACTTTTGTAATCAAGTAGTACCAAGTTCAGGTTTGTTGATAAATCTAGTTATATGGGTACGTGTTTATTTTTTTTAAATGGATTTTAACCACTACAGTGGAGTGGTTATAATGAGTTTGTCCTTATGTTTGCAACATACAAAAATATTGGTCCTACATCCACCTCTTAAAGTATAAGCTTGGAATCGTTTTGTAAGTCGATTTCAAAAAATTCATAAGAAATATTTTTCTAAAGAAAGTCTTCATGATAAGACAAAACTAAAGAAAATGTTCTCATGTCTCGACAAAATTTTTTCGAAAAAAAAAACATTCTTAAAAAGGGTTTTCCAAATGTTACGACAAATATTATTCTTCTGAAAAATGTTCCTCATGTCATAAAAAAAAATTTTCTAAAAAAACTTCTCTTATATCTTGTTTTTTAAAAGAAAAAATTTCATGACAATGAGACAATTTTTTTTCATGTCATGACAAATGTTTTTAAAGAAAATTTTCCTCATGTTATAACAAAATATTTCAAAAGAATAAAGGAAATTTTTCTCATGACATGAGAAATTTTTTTTCAAAGACATTTTCCCCCAAAAATTTTTCTAAAAAATTTGATGTTTATGTCATCACAAAAATGTTTCTATACATGTCATGACAAAAATATATCTAAAGAAAATTTCTCTCCATATCATGACTATTGTATTGTCTCATGTCATGATAAAATCTAATTTTTTGATCATATCTACATATTTCCTACGAAAAATTTTTTTTTTTATTTGTTATGACAAATATGTCTTGATATAAATTTAGTGGCTGCAATCATACATTGCATAACAAAACGGAAAAAAATATTCAGTCTGAAATATACTTGACATAATAACAAAAATGTATCTATAAAATTGTTTCTCATGTCATGACAAAAAAGTTTATATCTCTATGGAGATTTCTTTGGATATGTCTTAACATAACACACATATCTGGATATGTCATACATATTATGTTTGACAACAAAATGGTGTAATTTTTACTTAAAAGGAAGTTTTTGCAACATCATGCAAATTTTTTTTCTTTATACAAATTTATTATTATGTCATGAGAAAAGGTTATGGTCGGAAATTTACCAGCCTTATGTGTTGCATTAGTCTCTACTTAATCCCCTTGTGCAAAATACATATCAGATGTTCGTTTTTGCAACTGCTTTGAAAATTAAGTAGACTGCTACTTAGTGTATCTTATAACACCATTCAGCACTCGTAGACTTGCTCTTGCAACAACAAAATCCATACCATCTGTTCGTCTTTCTTCATTGACATTGTCATCGTTTTACGGCCAGTATTTCATTATTATGAGGTTTATTTTCTAGTTCTTTGGCTCGTAATCAATCATTTTGTAGGCCTGTTGTGTACAAATGTGCCAGTGATGTGGACTCAGAATTGTTTAAATAGGGGTTGGAATGTTTGAATACCGATCAATGAAATATTTGCAAAATTTTTGTCGAAAATATTTTGCAAGCATTTTTGGAATATTTTTGCAAGAAATGATTAATAGAAAAATTTTTTGTTTTAAATCAACCCCTATTTGTAAAATTATCTTGTCACGCTCTTTATGTTTTTGCAATGTGTATGTATCTCTTTTCATTTTGTCTACAGTATAGACGCTATACTATAATTTATATCAATTGGCCTTCTCTATATGCTATTTCGGAAGGAATGTGGAAATAATTATATCAAGTAAAATATTTCTGAATTGCTATAATTACTAACTAAATGCTATATTATTTACTATAGTTATGTATTACTAAACATTGGTGAACAATTTTTAAAAGTTTTAACATTTTCCCAAATTAAAAGTTTGTTTTATATTTTCTACTAGATCTCTTAAATAATATTCAATATTTACAACCATTTTGTTAGCAAAACGAAAAGTTTCCAATAAAAAACAAATTTGTACAAAAAAAAATCTCATTTATATTAAATTACATCTCATTCAGTAGTTCAAAAATTTGCATATTTTTTCTCTATTATAAAACTGCAAAAAAAAAAAAAAATTGAAACGTAGTAAAAATTTGCATATAAAAAATGCACATACACGCGCTGGTTTAAATTTATCTGGATTTAAAAATCTGTAGCAGAAAGAAAAAAAACTAACTGAAAAGAATATAAAAACATTCAGCTGAGTAAAATTTCATTCACAAGCCAAAATGACAATTACATTTAATGACTGATAACATGTGTGTGAATATATTCTAGTTTCAAGTATTCATTTATATTTATAGCTTAAAATACATACAAAAGGTGATACAGTAAATGAAAAAAAAAATATAAATTATAAAAAATTTTCGATGTCATGACATACATCTTATAACAAAAATTTCGTAATAAAAATTTTTCAAAATAAAAATTATTTTTATGTCAGAACCAACATTTCATAACAAAAAATTCTTATACGGTCTTTTCTACAGAAAAATGTTTTTATGCCTTGACAAAAGTTTTATTTTAATAGAATTTGTTCTCATGTCATGAAAAACTAAAATTCTTAAAAAAATTCGTTTTCGTATGTCATTTGAAAAATTTTTCCCAGAAAATTTTTTTCCATGTCATGACAAATTTGTCTAAAGAAAATTTGTTGAAAATAAGTTTCATGTCATGATATAAATATTTTTTAGAAAATTTATTCTCATTTCATAATGGGTTATATCATGACAAAAATATTTTTTTAAGAAAATTTATTCACATTTTATGACAAATATTTTTCGTAAGAAAATTTGTTCTCAATGATATAAATTTTTCTTAAGAAAATTTATTCACATGTCATGACAAATATTTTTCTAAAGAAAAGTTGTTCATATTTCTTATATGTTTTAAAAGGGTTTTAGAAAACGTTCATAACATGGCAATGAAAATTTGTTTATGTCATGTCAAGAATCTTTCTTAGATAATTTATTCTCATGTCATTGCAAGAATATTCTGAATG